GATGCTTCTAGAAAGTTAAGAGAAGGAATAGACTTGACGGGGGGGTGGGGAGTGGTTAAGATCATGCATCAGATTTGAAATCTGTTGAGTTTAGGAATGCCAGGAGGCATCCAGGTGGAGATGGCCACTGGAACTCAATAGAGATGCTAAAGACATAGGTTTGGGAAGAATTAAAAGATTATTGGAGGCATATGAGTAGATGAGGTCCTCAAGTGAGAGTAGCACAGTTCAGTTCAGTCACTCAGTCATGTCCGACTCTTTGTGACCCCGTGGACGGCAGCACGCCAGGCCTCCCTGTCCATCACCAACTCCCAGGGTTTACTCAAACTCATGTCCATTGAGTCAGTGATGCCATCCAACCATCTCATCCTGTGTCATCTCCTTCTCCTTCCTTCAGTCTTTCCCAGCATCAGGGTCTTTTGAAACGAGTCAGTTCTTCTCATCAGGTGGCCAAAGTATTGGGGCTTCATCTACAGCAACAGTCCTTCCAATGAACACCCAGGACTGATCTCCTGTAGGATGGATTGGTTGGATCACCTTGCAGTCCAAGGGACTCTCAAGAGTCTTCTCTAACACCACAGTTCAAAAGCATCAATTCTTCAGTGCTCAGCTTTCTTTATAGTCCAACTCTCACATCCATACGTGACCACTGGAATCCCATAGCTTTGACTAGATGGATCTTTGTTGGCAAAGTAATGTCTCTGCTTTTTAATATGCTGTCTAGGTTGGTCATGACTTTCCTTCCAAGGAGCAAGCATCTTTTAATTTCATGGTGGCAGTCACCATCTGCAGTGATTTTGGAGCCCCAAAAGATAAAGTCTGTCACTATTTCCACTGTTTCCCCATCTATTTGCCATGAAGTGATCAGAGAAGGCAATGGCACCCCACTCCAGTACTCTTGCCTGGAAAATCCCGTGGACGGAGGAGCCTGGTAGGCTACAGTCCATGGGGTCGCGAAGAGTCTGACAAGACTGAGCGACTTCACTTTCCCTTTTCACTTTCATGCACTGGAGAAGGAAATGGCAGCCCATTCCAGTATTCTTGCCTGGAGAATCCCAGGGACGGGAGCCTGGTGAGCTGCCATCTATAGGGTCACACAGAGTCAGACACGACTGACGTGACTTAGCAGCAGCAGATGGGACCAGATGCCATGATCTTAGTTTTCTGAATGTTGCATTTTAAGCCAACATTTTCACTCTCCTCTTTCACTTTCATCAAGAGGCTCTTTAATTCTTCATTTTCTGCCATAAGGGTGGTGTCATCTGCATATCTGAGGTTATTGATATTTCTCCCAACAATCTTGATTCCAGCTTGTGCTTCCTCCAGCCCAGCATTTCTCATGACGTACTCTACATATAAGTTAAATAAGCAGGGTGACAATATACAGCCTTGACGTACTCCTTTTCCTATTTGGAACCAGTCTATTGTTCCATGTCAAGTTCTAACTGTTGCTTCCTGACCTGCATACAGATTTCTCAAGAGGCAGGTCATGTGGTCTGGTATTCCCATCTCCTTCAGAATTTTCCACAGTTTGTTGTGATCCACCCAGTCAAAGGCTTTGGCATAGTCAATAAAGCAGAAGTAGATGTTTTTTCTGGAACTCTCTTGCTTTTTTCAATGATCCAACGGATATTGGCAATTTGATCTCTGGTTCCTCTGCCTTTTATAAATCTAGCTTGAATATCTGGAAGTTCATGATTCATGTACTGTTGAAGCCTAGCTTGGAGAATTTGGTGCATTACTTTACCAACGTGTGAGATGAGTGCAATTCTGCGGTAGTTTGAGCATTCTTTGGCATTGCCTTTCTTTGGGACTGGAATGAAAACTGACCTTTTCCAGTCCTGTGGCCACTGCTGAGTTTTCCGAATTTGCTGACGTATCGAGTGCAGCACTTTCACAGCATCATCTTTTAGGATTTGAAATAGCTCAACTGGTTTCATCACCTCCACTAACTTTGTTCGTAGCGATGTTTCCTAAGGGCCTACTTGACTTCACGTTCCAGGATGTCTGGCTCTAGGTGAGTGATCACACCATTGTGATTATCTGGGTCTTGAAGATCTTTTTTGTACAGTTCTCCTGTATATTTTTGCCACCTCTTCTTAATATCTTCTGCTTCTGTTAGGTCCCTGCCATTTCTGTCCTTTATTGAGCCCATCTTTGCATGAAATGTTCCCTTGGTATCTCTAATTTTCTTGAAGAGATCTCTAGTCTTTCCCATTCTATTGTTTTCTTCTCTTCCTTTGCACTGATCACTGAGGAAGGCTTTATCTCTCCTTGCTATTCTTTGGAACTCTGCATTCAAATGGGTGTATCTTTCCTATTCTCCCTTGCCTTTAGCTTCTCCTCTTTTCTCAGCTATTTGTAAGGCCTCCTCAGACAGCCATTTTGCTTTTTTGCATTTCTTTTTCTTGGGGATGGTCTTGATCCCTGTCTCCCCTACAATGTCACAAACCTCCATCCATAGTTCTTTAGGCACTCTGTCTATCAGATCTAATCCCTTGAATCTATTTCTCACTTCCACTGTGTTTGATTTAGGTCATACCTGAATGGTCTAGTGGTTTTCCCCACTTTCTTCAATTTAAGTCTGAATTTGGCAATAATGATCTGAGCCACAGTCAGCTCCCTGTGTTGTTTTTGCTAAGTGTATAGAGCTTCTCCATCTTTGGCTGCAAAGAATATAATCAGTCTGATTTTGGTGTTGGCCATCTGGTGATGTCCATGTATAGAGTCTTCTCTTGTGTTGTTGGAAGAGGGTGTTTGCTAAGACCAGTGCGTTCTTTTGGCAAAACTCTATTAGCCTTTGCCCTGCTTCATTCTGTACTCCAAGGCCAAATTTGCCTGTTACTCCAGGTGTTTCTTGACTTCCTACTTTTGCATTCCAGTCCTCTATGATGAAAAAGGTATCTTTTTAGGGTGTTAGTTCTAGAAGGTCTTACAGGTTTTCATAGAACTCTTCAGCTTCTTCAGCATTACTGGTCGGGACATAGACTTGGATTACTGTGATATTGAATGGTTTGCCTTGGAAATGAACAGAGATCATTCTGTCATTTTTGAGATTGCATCCAAGTCCTGCATTTCAGACTCTTTTGTTGACCATGATGGCTACTCCATTTCTTCTAAGGGATTCTTGCCCACAGTAGTAGCTATAATGGCCATGTGAATTAAATTCACCCATTCCAGTCCATGTTAATTCACTGATTCCTAGCACAGGGTCAAAGATAAAGCCCAAGGAGTATCGACACTTGAGCAGACCAAAAAAGGAACCTATGAAGAAATGTGAGAAGCCGTGGGAAAGGCAGAAGGAAGACCAGCCAAGAAGGATGTCATCAGCTGGGACACACGCCACAGAAATGTCCGGATAAATGAAGATGAGTGTCTGTCGACCCCTCCCTGTGACAGCCGTTGGTGACTGTAGTGAGAGCCGTAAGAGGGGGACAGCAGGACAGAAGCAGCGTGGCTGTGAGTGTGTGGTACCTGGACTGGAAGACAGCAGTCAACAAATGCAGTCAAGGGAAGGAGCCTCGGGGCAGAAAGTCGAGGGGTGGGGCGGGGAGTCTAGAGTCTTTTTCTAAAGATCCAAGGGTTCTGTAACTTTGTCCAGGATTCACCACTGCCCATTTGGAAGAAGTTTAGACCCACTTTTCCTTCTTTCTTTCTGCCTTTTGTTTTTCCCCTCCCTCCCCCTATTTCTCCCCATCCTTCCCTCCCTCCCTCTTCACTCTGAGTTTCCTCTCCAGAAGCCAAGGAATAACTTATGTAACTGGAAGCACTTAATGTATTACCTACCTAAGTGTTTTAAAATAAGGTACTGAAAAGTTATATTTAGGCAAGGGAGTCAGAAGAACCAAGTTGAAAAAAGAGTTGGAGCCGGGGTAAGAGAAGGGCTGCCTCTCTTCCTCTCAGCCTGCTGTCCACCCTGCCACTCATGGGGACCGTCCTTTGGCCCAAAGATGGCTTGTGTGTTAGTGGGTGTGGTGAGCGCAGACAGTTACCTACTTTGTCTGCGCCCTTCTGACTGGAGACCAGCCTGCTTATCCCGCCTCTGGCTTCACTGGTCATGCGGGCAGCTGGCAGCATCCTTCCTGTAATGACTCCATGCGGCTGTCCTGGTCACTCCCCCCAGCTGGTGACCACTTGCCTGCAGAACTTAGCTCATCCCACTTGTACCCACTCCTCACCAAACCTTCCTGAGCTTGCAGGTAGGACTCAAACACACTGTCTTCAGGAGCCCCTCTTGCCCGCTTCAGTTAGTCCCCAGGTCTACATGTTGGCACTGTGCCTTTCCTGAGAGGTTGCTGGGAGGCACTCTCATTGTGGTTGTTTATACTGGCCCTCACTGGTGAGACCTTAAGGCCCTGGCAGGGATTCTCCATGACATTCAGTGCAGCATTGCATGCAGGTGAAATCCTCAGCTGAGGTTGGTTTGCAGAAGGTAAGGGCATGAAGTCTGCCCTCAAGGGTGGGCGTGGGGCTCTTGCATCTTTGTCCACACTTCACCTCCTCCTCCCTAGGGATGTGACCATCTTTCAATGCCACAGGCATTTACTAAGCACCTACTCTGAAATGGCAGTAAGTACTCTGGGACTTCAGCAGTGAACCAGGCAGACAAGATCACCGCCTCCTCAGTTTGTGTTCCATTAAAGGAGACAGCCGTCAGAGAAACGTGTGTAAGCACAGATGATGCCTCCAGGCTGTGGCTAGAGCTTGGAAGGACCTGCACAGGCTCTGTAAGGCAGGAGCACAGTTGTGTTGAGACCTGTAGACTGAAGAGGAAGGGGAAGTTGCCCTCTTTCTTCTCTGTTATTTAAATAGCTCCTGCTCCTTTAACTTCTCTTTCAATAAAATATTTATGTAAAGGGCTGTAGGAAGGCTACGTGCCGGGCATGCTCCTGGTCAGTAGGCTCACACCTGCTAACACATCGTACCCCTAACGAATAATAATCTCTTGAATGGCTGTTCACCTGAAGACGCCTCTAACGCTAGGCGTGTTTTGTTTGCAGGTGAGCCGGCCTCATCCCAGCGACCACCCTCTCCTCATCCTCTTCGTGGTGGGCGGAGTCACAGTCTCTGAAGCCAAAATGATCAAAGACCTTGTGCCGTCCCTGAAGCCGGGAACCCAGGTACTGAGTCCTCAGTGACACTTGGTGACGCGATCTGAGTGGGAAGCCTGGACAGGAGGAAGGGTGGGCCTCCATTAGGCTTCCCAGCCATCTGCGTCTCCATCCCCCAGCCTCCTCTGCCCTGCTCCTTCTGCCTGTTCCAGGCCTGAGGCCTCGCCTACCTCTGGGCTGCAGTGCTGTCCCCAGATTCCTAAAAGGCATGTCTTCTCTGATGTCCAAGCAGTGCTTAATTCCTCAAGCAGTTTCACCTCTTAATAGGCTCTAGATCATTGAGGGTGGCTCCCAGGGACCCTCTCGACCGCATGGAGAGGATAGAAAGGCACCTCGTCTGGACAGTGACAGGTGTAGTCTTTCTTCTCTGTGGCCTCCTTCCAGGCTCCATCTCCCTCCCCACACAAACACCCCGGTGGTTAAGGCACAGCCCTCCGCTATCTGCCTTTTACTAGCACGTGACCCAAGTGAGAAAAGCCTTTGGTTTTCTCACTGAAGCGACAGGGTGGGGTGCCTGTGAACCTTAGCTCAGAGAGGAGAATGTGCTTCTTAGTGCAGTGCCCCGCACACAGCCCTCGGTACAGGTGGCCAAGGTTATTGTCAAAAACCACTTCTGAGCAGCCGCCACTCTGCCCTGCAGTAGGAGCTCGGGGAGAGGGACTTGAGGAACAGGCAAGGACTTCCCTGTCTCTGGAAGCTCTCAGCTGGCTGGGGCAGCAGAACCTGTAACTCAGCAAGACCGGAAGTCCTTGCCTTAGTAGGTTCCCACAGCAGCCTGAAACCCAGCAGACTTTATGTGGGAGGGGATCCCGAGGAGCAGAAGGGAGGGAACTGGCAGAGGGACCGTGAGGGAGCGAACCCGGCGGCTCGCTGGCGCGGGCGCCCCAGGCTCTGTCCTCCAGGGCCGAGGACCGTCCTCGGAACTGTCCTGCTGGGGATGGAGCCCCTGGGACGTCTTCCTGTTGACCCCACCCTGAGGTTGAGGCTCGTCTCTTGGGGCCTGTCTTCAGCTTTGTGCTATGTCTGTATGCTGCCGGCAGCCTTCTGTGGTTTGGAGATGGCAGAACAGAGATGCCAGTGCAGTGCTTCGGGTAGGGTGCCGGCTCTGAGACAGACAACAGTCCACCACAACCGCACAGAATCCAGGTGGTATTCCAGCCATGCCTGGCTCCCCTGCTCCCTGGGGAAGAGGTACAGATGCCCATGTCTCCCACTTCCACCCACTCAGCCAGCCAAGGAGCCCCTACCCCCGCTGGCATCCCAGGCGGCTGGCTGATGGCTCCCCATTGCTGACCTAGCCTCCTGAAGCAAACGTGCATTCCTTGAGGACCAAGCCTGGGCCTCCCCAGGCCTGTGCACAGACAGGAGCTCTGTCACCCTGTGGGCTAGTGGCGTGATGTTGTTGAGGTGGCCAGGCCGCCTGGTGGTGTGGAAAAGGCCAGATCTCTGTGGGTCTCCCAACACTCAACTTAGGAAAGGGACCCAGGTGTCCAGGAAGCCATGGTATGTTTTTGAGCAAGGGAGTGACCCATCATTGACTATGGCCACTTGTGCTGTTACTAACACCTGTCTTGGTCATAGCTGATGGGATTTCTGATAAAGTGGTAAATTCAGCCTCATCTCACACCCACTCCGTCAGCAGTGTCCAGGGTCTGTTTAGTGAGCAGTTGCCTTTTTGAGCAAGACATTCTTCTTTTTTATCAGCAAGCATGCTTCTCACTGCCCCTAACATGGTGAACCAAATTCTTAGCTGCTGCATTGTTAACTGGCTGACAGATGCGTTAATCTCCCCTCTAAAAGGATGAAATGCACACTTTTTCAAAGCCGTGTGACCTGAGTTTGACAACAGAGACCCGGAATCTGCAGTGGCTCAGTGGCTGGACTGCAACTGACCGACCTTGTGCTCAATCATCTGCAGAGAGAGCGGCTCAAAGAGTTGGGGGCTTAAGGGGCAGCCGTGCCTGCTGCTTGTCCTTTGTGCAGAAAGCTCCCCCTGAAGAGTTAACAGGGCCCAGGAAGATGAGGAGAGGAGTTATTTACCATCATGGCCTTCATTCCAAGTCCTGAAAGGAGGTGGATTACCTGCCTGTTTGCTAGAGTGACACCTGCAAAGGCAGGTCTCCCAGTATTAGACCCCCACGCACCGGCAGCTAAGTCAGCCCAGATCTGAGATGTAACCAGCTCCGGCTTCAGAGGTGCATTCAGAGGGATGAGGGCTGGATGCTCTGGCTGTACGCAGGAAGGCCTGCTAATCTGCTGCCTGCTTAGACCTCTGTCAGGGCGCACGTGGGAACAACTGCAGTGGGGCGGGTCTGGCACCCAAGAGAGTGACTCTAACCTGACCAATGACTTAAACATACTCATCTAATGCTGCTGTCTAGTATGCAGCTAATCCAGCCTACACGTAAAGGTCCCCGGGAATGAGGATTTGCCCCTTGCCCAAAGCCTACCCGAGTCCTAGAGGCCTTGGCCCTTGGGACTGTTTGCTCCCAGGCCCCACAGGATCTCCCAACAGATCAGGCTCACCCCTCCTCTGCAGGTCCTCTTCCCAGCTGCTCTTCTCCAGACTGGGCGGAGAAGAGCCCACCACACCACAGCCCATGCCGGGAACCTGGGTGTCCCAGCCCCCGGGCGGCTCTCCTGGGACCCTGGTCTCTCCTTGCAGGCTCACTTACACCCAAGCACCTCCCTTGCCAGGCACTGGGGCCACCTCCTCCTCCCACCACAGCCCCTACCTGCCGCTGGGCCTTCTTTTCCTACCCCTTTCTGCTGGCCTCCTGGCCTCTCTTTCCTAGCCTCAGGACTTTACACTTATTTTAATTCCAGCACCACAGAAAGGATCTGGCACTGGGCGTCATGATTACTCATTGAATATTGAAAACTAGAGACCTTCCCATGTGGCTCAGTCAGTAGAATCCCCTGGAGAATGAAATGGTAACCCAATCCAGTAGTCTTGCTTGGGAAATCCCATGGACAGAGGAGCCTGGGGGACTATAGTTCATGGGGTTTCTAGAATCGGACATGACTTAGTGACTAAACCATCACCATTGAACACTAGAAATTCTACTTGCGTTATTGAAGAGTAAGATAAAAGCAGTTTTTCTGGAGACTATGCCAGCCTGTTATTGATCCTGAGATTATGGACAACTAAGACCACCCTGTCTTTTGTATCAGTTGCTGTAATTCATATCTATTCCGTACCACAGAGATGCTTTTTGGACCCAGGAATAGGAACTTAACGGTCTCTTAAATTGGATTAGTTGATTATTCAGTAAACATTTATTGAGCATGTCCTCTGTGCCAAGCACTGTTCTTTGTGCTGAGGAGACCAAGACAGACTTGTCCCTGCTTTCATGGAACTTACTCTCTGATAGGGAGTGACTGACTGACATCAAACACAGAAGCTCCAGCCAGACGTGAGTGTTCTGGAACATAGGCAGGTGCTTTTATGGGAATACCTGCAGGAAAGGGGTGGAGGCGGGAGGGTCCTTCAGATGGCATCGGCTTCTCCTGAAGGAGAGGGTTGATGAGCTGAGATGTGCAAGGCATTCAGGGATCCACTCATCAAAGGAAACTGCCGATAGAAGCCACATAAGGCCCGCATATCTTGGAGAGAGAAAAGCTTCATCTAAATTAGTTCATCTGATTGATGACTGTCATTTATAACTTTATTGCTACTTCTGTCTTGGGTATTCCTTTGGAAAAGGTGTATGGATTCATTACATATTCTAATGTGTTGTCTATAGATTATAAGATAAAGTCAAGCGTGTATCTGCTGATACTTTTTAAGTTGACCTGTCTTTATACTTAGAATTGTCTCTTAATAGTCGGCTTCCCTGGTGGCTCAGATGGTAAAGACTCTCCTGCAATGTGGGATGCCTGGGTCGGGAAGATCCCCTGGAGAAGGAAATGGCAACCCACTCCAGTAATCTTGCCTGGAGAGTTCCATGGAGAGAGGAGCCTGGCAGGCTACAGTCCATGGGGTTGCAAAAAGTCAGGCATGACTGAGCAACTATCACTCACAGCACATCCAAAAATAAATCCCCTTTTACAGAAGGTGATAAAGATCTCATGAAACAGTGGCATTCAGAAACCACATTATCACCTGCTAGTCCCAGAGGATGGCTGTCCTACACTACAGTGGGCGTGTTTTCTCTGCTCTCCTCCCCTGGCTGTTGCTAAACTTGCTGATGAGAGAAAGTGGGCAGCTAGAGAAAGCCCTCTTCCCTGACTACAAAAAAAGGGATCAAACAGGCCGCCTCTCAACCCCACCCCAAACAGCCACAGCCACGAGCAGCTGACTTTGCAGGCTTGCCTTGGCTCTGGAACACGTGTGCCCAGCCCTGGCCTCTTCTCACTGCAGACAGCTCTGCAGGCTGAACCCTGGGGCTGGGACGTGGCCGAGATGCCAGCCGAAGTCTGGGACTGTGGGAGGAAAATAACAGGGAGGGACCCTCCCAGAAAGTACAGGGGAAGGCCAGCTCAGGAAACAGAGAGAGACAAAGTGGGCCTGACCTGCTGCCACGGCTCTTCCTGGTACACGGGGCCCAACCACGCTTTCATGTGCGTCTGGAACCAAGCATTCAGTGAGACTGTAATAGAAAAAAAGAGTAGACCCAGAAATGTGCTCACACACTTAGGATTTTGTGCCACTGTAGACGTTCGAGGATAACTAAATCCTGACTCTAAACCCTGGCCCCAGTTTATCCTAAAATCTGATGCAGGCCCTCAAGGAGAGAAGTCAAGCGACTTCTATTTTTTTTCTTCTGGTCTGCATTTAATTTGTTCTGACATTTCCTATTCCAAGGAAAATGTCAGTGAGATTTACAATTTTTCTTCTTTACCTTATAATTTGAAATATTAGACAGCATCACACATGTTCATATTATTCTTATTAATATTGCCCTTTATTCCTATGCACTTCATGTATCTTTGATATTTGATGCAATCCTCTTAGCAATGCTGAAGTCATTTGCAATAGAAGTTTCTTGTTGTTTTCCCCCAAGTAA